CCAGGCCTTGGTCTCCCTGCTTCAAGGCAGCTGGTGCAACTGGTGCTGGTGCCCAGGGCCCAGTATCTCACAGGTGAATAGCCCCAGGCAACTCAAAGCTAGGCACTCAGTGGGCAGACAGGCAGTGGAGCACAGGGGAAGCACCTTCCTGGCCAGCATTTCCACCATGTATGAGCCAAGGAAGGGGGGCAGATCACTCTCCTCCTCCATGGCTCTATGTCTCTGGTCTCTTCCACAATGGCCAGAGACATAGAGCCCTAGCATGGGGTGGGAGGAGTGCACTACCACTAAGCCAACTGCAGCACCCATGGGCCATGCCACCTTGCAGCCCCTCCTGCCAGAACACCTCCTGCCTTCCCACCCATCCAACCATGGGAAATGCTGCCACTGCCAAGAAGGACAACAAGATTCAAGAGCAGTGAGTGAGCCAGGGAGAGAGGGAGAGACAGAGGCAGGGAGACCCCCAGTAGCCAGTACTTACTCTGCCTGCCACAGGGCAAGACACATGCAGGCGGCCAGCCGTGCTTCTGCTGCCAGCCATCACATCCTGCCCCGCTGCCCTTTCCCCATATCTCCTCCTCTGTGGAGAAATCTGGTTCAGCTTGACTGTACTGCCTGCTCCCCCCACTCTGGCCCCAGCACTTCGATTTACATGGCAAAAAATGCTGGTGGAAGGGGCAGGCAGCATGCAAAGGCAAACTAGTTTAAAAGTTAACTGTAATGCATTAATGGTATAAATATAATTATTGTTTAACCATTTAACCTTTCACATCCCTAATAACCACAAGGACAAATGGGTCGAGCTACTGGAAATGGAGATGAGTGCAAGTCATGCCAACCTAATAGTTTTATATCCTCAGTTTGAACAGTTATCTCATTGGTTGGAATCTTTTAGATAACACAGACATTTCTTGACTGTTTCTCTTTCTGGACTAATCTAAAAGAATCTAGCAAATGTAATCACCTTATATAAATAGGATGGTATTTCCTCTGCATTTATATTTTCACATTTTCCATTTCTTGCCTTATACTCAATGACTGTTTCAGTGTGTTGGGTTTTGTGAATTTTTTTTATTAAAAGGGGTTTGAAGTTTCAAATTGAAACATGAATAATTTTTTTATTAAGAGGGGTTAACTTTAATTAAAAAAGAAATGAGTGGTAAAGCAAAACCTAAAGGTTTTGTATGGAAATTTTATAAAGGAATGCAAGAGGGAAAAGCAGTGAAAGGCAGAGGTAACTTTTGCAGTTGTGAATATGTAACTCACATAGACAAAATGATAAAAGATGTCTTAATATCTTGTGATATATGTCCAGCTATAGTAAAGAAAGACTCCTTATTAATAATATTCCAAAAAGAAGCTGTTTTCTTCTACTTATGCATCAGATGCTTCCTCTGATCCTGCTTTGAATATAGAAGATTCCTCTGATGGAGACAGTATGGTGGTAGAAATGAAAGAAAATACTGAAACTCGGGCTGGCAATCTTCCACTTCTTTTACCTTCAAATTCAACTTCTGTAAGCAATTTTGACTTTAAAGCTTCATCTCAGCAGCCTTCCATTTCCAAGCCTTCTTCGGCCAGTTCTTGGGAATCAACTTCTGCAAAATCTCCAGTTTCACAGAAAGCCCCAAACCAGTGAAAATCACCATAAAATATTTTTGGATTTTTGTACGGGACTAATACACAAGAAAAGTGTGAGCTTGACTGGATGTTTGATAAAGCTATATATATACAAACAATTTACCTTTTCACATAGGAGAAAATCCTTACATGAAGGATTTTTTTTTGCCAAACTACGTACAATCTACACATTACTGTCATGACCCAAAAGGCATGATTGTGTGTGTGCTTCGGCACCAGAATTATCCCCATCAAGTTGCAGAGCATTGCACGGGAGAGTTTCCTGTAGCAAGAGGAAACCCCGGTGCAGGGACCAGTTTCCCGCCTTTTTTGCAGTTTCTTTTGCAGGGTGCATTGCTCGAGTTGCAAGAGGAATGCACGGTGCAAAAGAGTTCCCGCCACCGGTATGCAAATTCGTTCCCCGTGATTGGCTAGTGCTAAATTATTCACACGTGGCGGCTAACAATTGGCCTGTTAGCCGTATAAGAGGCTTGAGCGGTTTCCGCCCAAGCCGAAGAGGACTCCACATCCATCTCGTGGGGACTCTGGGTACACGGCAGGGTAATAGAAACCCTGTGTGAGATCCAGAGGAGCATGGCGGCCTGATCCACCGCCCACCTCTTCCCGTCTTCGAACGCAACTTTTATAAGACGTAATTACGATTTCTATTTTGGTTGCTCGTTCACCCAGAGCATCTGGAGCTCTGCACCGTGGGGCCTAGCAACCTCCACGAGACCGTCTGTGTTGTCTGTCTGTAACCGCAACTTAAGCAAGTTTTCCAGCCTACACCACTGCCATCTCGGTGTAAGTAAACAATCTTTTAAACTA